AGTTCACATTATTTTATGCGAGGATCAAAATGATATAAAATTAAGTATTTCATGTAATTTCTTTTTCTAATAGTTTCAATTGCTTATTTTGTTTATTCTCTCCCCCTAATATTGAAAAAATTATTTAATCCAAACAATAGTTGACAAATCGAGTGGTAAAAAATCCCTTATTAATGGTTCAAGATATTTAATTATAAAAGGGTATTCATATCCAACATATATTCCCAATGTCCTTTAAGGACCCATTTTATTTCATTGTAGAGGAGTAATTGGGACATATACTGCATATCTAATTGAAAGGAGGAGAATTTCGATAACTTGTGAGCTTGATGTGATTAAGTGTTGCTATGGATAAAATGTCTTTAATCATAAACAGAGAGTTATTATTTCATAAGTAATGATCCAATGATCAACTTGGATGCTTTTGATAAATGATCAAGCTAAACAATTTTGAGTATGAACATAAGCAATAGGTTATTCAACCTTGATTCCGATAGACATGCAATAATCATTAAATGCTTGAGAGGTAAATTTATTAGCATTGTTAAAATAAATTATTTTAAGGGTATAATCTTAAAATTTTGCTCGTAATAGAATTATTTGAGCAAGTAACCTCGAAAACGCTAGGTTTTGAGTTGATAATAAGCATATATGTGACCATCTTATGGATGTATATGCTAGAATCATAAACTATTTAAATGGTCTATATGGCAGATGAATTGGTCTATATATATCATCTTGAATACATTTTTAAAAATATTAAAGAGTTAATCCCAAATTTATTTGGTGATGGCTTAATAATAAGTTTGCCATGAAAACATGCCGGACATGAAAATTCATTAGATTGAAGAATCTTTTGGTTCTTTAATTGGTGCCCACATAAATTTTTAATAATTTTTTACATCATAATAAATCTAGAATGGCCTAATTGGGCATGCCATATGATAAAAAAGTTAGTAAACTTCTAGTTTACTATAGCATTTGTTTCAATCATTCGTATATTTATGTAATAAATGCTAGAAGAGAAAACAGATAATTTCTCCAATACATATTTTCTACCCAATGTAATTTTTGTAATATATAAGTATTCAATATTTTTAACATTTTTTTTTCATGATATGATATCCATTTAGATGAATATTTTGAAACTTAATAAATTTTTATGAGGTTTAAGAGAGAATAATGAATCATTTATAATTAAATTTATCCCTCTAAGTAATAATATATTTGTTCTTCCAAAGTATTCAATTAAATCAATACTATTAGATATAGTATTAATATTAGCCTTTCCCATCATTAAATTAGAAAAATATCTTTTATTTTTTAATATATTAAATTTTATTGTATTCTCTATATGGTATAAATTCTCATCTATGATGTTTAAACCAATTGTGAACTTGGTAGTATCCATATGTTTTTATAAATACAAAGAAAATAATATATATATATATATATATATATATATATAATATAAAAATTTTAACTATCACGATGTAATAGAAATTATAAGAAAACATAAAATTTTTTTATTTATCAATAGAAAACCTAACAAGATATTAATTTCAATGATTATCATTAATATAGTGATCTTTTCTTTTAGAATCTTTAAAAAAATTTTAGCAATATGTAAATGTGTCAAATTACTAAAACCATCAAGGGAACGTTATCACAATTTTTATTTTGATATATAAAATTTACCTCTACGTTACTTTTTTTCTTTTTCAACGAGACTTGATAAAGCTCAATGATGTTTTTTGACATACGATAAGTATGCAACCAATATCCATTTATACCACATCTATAATGACGATCAAGATTATAAGAATAATTATTCGACCACGACTATAGATATTGCCATGACGTCCACGTTCATGGCCATGACCACATCCTTTTACACGCTTAAAATTATTATAAGATGTTACATTCACTTCGGGGAATAAAGTAGACCCATTTGGGAGGAGGGATTCGGGATTTTTCATCAATAACTCGATATTTTGTTCAGCCACAAGTAAGTATGAAATCAATTGAAAGTATTTTTTAAAACTTTTTTTTTCGATATTGCTCATTATTTTATTTAGCCACAAGTAAGTATGAAATTAATTCAAAGTATTTCTTAAAACCTTTTTTTCGATATTGCTTCTTGTAGAATCATATTCGAGGCATGAAAAAGAAAGAATATTTTTTCTAACATATTTGAATCAATAATATTTTCTCTAGATAATTTTAGTTAGGAATTGATTCTAAATATTAAAAATCATACTTACTTACTTTTTTGAAATTTTGTAATCTTAAGTGCATCCAATCACAACGAGTTTTTAGAAGAATTATTGTCTTTTGATGGTTGTATCTTTCCTTTAAATTTTTTGATAGTTCAAGTGGATCCTTTACTATCAAATATTAAGTTCTCATATCCTCATGGAAATGATGGCAAAGGAAGATCATTACCTTAGCATGGTTTTACAAGGATTCTTGATTATGTTTCATGATTGTTTGTCCAAGACAATTAGTATTTAAATGTATCTTAGCATCAAACACCCCATGATAAATAATTTTTGTTCAAAATTTTAAGAAACTCAAAATAAAGTTTTGTGAGGTTTGACATGATAAAAATTCTATAATACATGATATAATAACAATGTCGAGAAAATAAGATCAAATATAATAATAAAATTTAATTTTTTAAAATAGCATACATTAGTTCATTAGAATATATATTTGACCATTCAAGTTTTTCAAACATATACTATATCTATCGTTAAATTTAAAGTAAAAGATAAATTAGGTATATACCTCTTAATAGTCTAGATAATTTACTTCTTTTGGTAGAACACTCGTGCTAATAGCATATTGAAATAACAATAATAATAATCATAAAAGTTGTTACGACAATTGTAAAAAGGATAGGAGAAAAGATTATAGAAAAATAATTTCACTATGAAATAAAAAGAATACAAGCGATAACAACTCCAAACAATTCTCTCAATCTTTACAAAATAATTATACACAAACTAATGAACAATCAATTCTATTTATAAGTTTCAAAATTAGAAAGAGAATTATAATGAATTGTGAATAATTAAAAATTCATAAATTATTAAATCAATTGCATCAACCTTTTTATTTTTAATATTGAATGGTGAATTGAATCATATTAACAATTATGAGTGTCCACATCGGCCATCGCAATGGAGGAAGGATCGAACAAAGGAGTCGCCACCTAGCTAATCGGGGAGAATTAGAAAACCCTAGACGAGCGGTCTATGTGGATATATGAGTAAGGGGGTCGGTTACATGTGGAAAAAATATGATATCACCAACATCCCATTCTACCTCGGGTAAGTCGTATTGTTGCCTATGGACATAAAAATTTAGTTTTTACTATGTCATGTTTCTACATCTATTTAAATGAGTTTATTTCATAAAAATATGAAACAAGATAGTCCGGGTGTAGAACAAGGTAGTTTGGGAGTTCAAGCCGATCAAAGGCCAATAATCCTTACCTAATAGGGAAAAGGTGGTGAAATTTGAGAATTTCGGGTAATCATTAGTGAAAACAACCTATTATCGGCTAATAGGTGAGTTTTTAAAGATGAATAGCCTTTTTATTGGCATGAGCAATGACTCACTAGTAACTTCGCTTACACAAGTAAGAAGGCATCGACAACTTCGAGGCATGAGTTTGAAGCTAACGGTAACATTATCACATAAGTTGGAAGCTACCGACCACTTTATTGAGTCGAAGCAAAGAGCGAGATAATTATTTAGAAGCCACCAGGCGGTTTTATCACATAAGTGAAAATTTATCGGCAACTTCATTTTGATGAAACAAGAAACAAAAAAATAGAGAATAGGAATCAAGAAACAAGGAAAAAAAATTAAGAAGAACAAGAATTAGGAATTAGGAATTAGGAATCAAGAAAGAGATAAAATGATTTTGAAACCATCGACGGCTTCGTCACATAAGTGGAAAGCCACCGACTGACTTTATTTTATCATTATAACCAATCATTAAAAGTTAATTAAATCACAAAAATAGCACAAACGTTGCATATAAATAGGTAGGCATAATAAGAGGAAAATAAGACATTTTGTCAATGATTGCGGTAATATTTCATATTATTTGCATTTAATCCATAAATATAAAGCCAAATATTACAATTTTAATCACATTCCAAACACATGTGTCATTGTTAACTTGTTTCATATTTTAAAAAGTGCCATGATTTTAGGATTTTTACCCAAGAGTATTGAAATGTCGATGTTCAATTTAGAGTCGGTCTTACCCTCTTTATTCTTGATGATAATTGATTTTTGATTTTTCGGGAATGGAGAGTAATTGCTGGTTTGCAATGTGTGGTGTGAGTGCCGCTAGAGTGGCTAAAAACTCCTCCATTACTTGGGTGAATATTCCAAAGTTATTGCAAGATTTATAGAGTTACTGCTTGTAGAATTGTAGAGTTCCCGAAAGCTCTAGGTGACTTTTTTGTGTACTTTCCCATCAAAAATCAAGGAAATACAATCTACAATATCATATTGTTCTTGTCAACACAATCCAACAATAAAATTGTTTCTTTTATCTTTTCTTATTTATTTATTTATTTGCTTTTGCTTCTTTTTTTTTTTTTTTTTAGTAACTCAAAAGTGTTAAGAGGGTTGTTTTAAGAGATGTTTTATGGTCTGTTTTAGTGGGTTTTTTGGAGGTGTTTTATAGCTATTTTAAGGCTATCTTGGGGCTGTTTTAGTGGCAATTTTGGTGGTCTATTGAGGTTGTCCAAAGGGGCTTTTTTGGACACTTTTTTCGAGGCTATTGGCGACTCTTTCGGTGGTTGGTTTTAGGGGTTTTAGTGGCTATTTCATGTCGATTTTCGGGTTTTTAGTGGCTATTTCAGGTCATTTTTGGGCTTTTGATGGTGTGTTTAAAAGGCTAGTTAGGTAGTCGATGAGAGTTGACAATGTAGGTATGGAAGAGAGGGCTATGAATCGGGGTTGTGTTGGTAAGGATGGCTATAGGCGAGTGGGTGGGCGAGAGGGTCAGTTGTGGTGCTAGCTGGGTCGGCGTAAGGAAGTGTATGGGTTGGCTTGGTGTGATTAGGTGAGGTTGAATAGGTAGTGGGTGAGAGGCTGGTAGTGTGGGTGCGAGGTCTGTGTTGATGAGGCTATGAGCGAGAGGATAAAGGGCCTATGATAGGCCCGTGGTACGTGAGCTGGAGGACGTGAAGGGGGCCACTTTAATGTGATGCATTGTCGGCAATATGAAGGATTAGGGTGAGAGAAAGCTATGGATTGTTGGAGTGTAAGGGGGTGGCTAGTGAAGTGGGCAAGAGAGAGAGAGTTCGTTGGCGTAAGTGTGAGGGATGGAGGTGTGAAAGCTTGTGGTGGCTAGAATGGGTGAAAAGGATGATGAATGAATAGTGTCCGGGTATAAAAAAAGCATGGGATAGCCTTATATGTAAGGTTTTTGAGAAAATGTAATTTTGGTCCTTGGCTTCCTTTCATGCACCAATTTGAGCCAAATTCAAGCCTTCCATTACAAATAATAGAGAATTTTTATTTTAATTTTTTTAATTATGAACCTCTTTAATTTAAACAAGGACTTGAAGCTTTGATTTTTTTCAATCATGTCCTCGATTATCTTTTTAATTATTTCTAACTCTTTATTTTATTCAATTAACCCCCTCCCCTCTTTCTTTCTTTCTTTTTTTAATTAATCTAAAATAATTATTTCAATTGATTTTTTTCTTTTCCATTTTCCATTTTATTTTTTCTTTTCATTTTCATTTTTAATTTTTGTATTTTACAAAAAAAAAAATTGAGGAAAAAAGTAATAAGGGTAAATTTTTGGGTGATAACGATTGCCCCCTCTTTACAATGCTTATGACGTAAAGTCATTGAAAAATATTTTTCATTGGCTTTATATAGTAAGCTTGTAAAGAAAATAAAAATAAAATTAGGTAAGATATGACTGACTATATTTATTTGAAAGGATGCGATTAACCACATCGATTTCGCTAGCACAAAATCGACTATATCCAATTAAAAGGAAACGTGGCTAACCACATTAATTTGAAGAGATATGACTAACCACATTAACTTTACAAGATATGGTTCGTCATGTCAAAAAGAAACATGACTGACCACAATGATTTGAAGGGACATGACTGATCACATCGATTTTAGAAGACATGACCGACCATGTAAAAAAAAAAACGTGACTAATCACGTTGATTTGAAAGGGTGCGGTCGATTGCACCACCTTTTTAATACATGATTAGCCATGTCAAAAGAGAAGGTAATTGACTACATTAGGTTGAAGGGATGGGATTGACTACACTAGCTTTGTGAGACATGATTGGCCATGTCAAAAAGGGAACGTGATCGACCACATTAATTTGGAGGGACACGATTGACCACATCGATTTTATGAGACATGACCATATGTCATCCTTTAACTCGGCTCTTCTTTCCCGACCACCATAATCAATTCATTAGGAAAATCAAATTTCGGAGGCTTATAATCATCTATTGCATTGTCTGCTAAATGATCGACTATAACACTTCCTTTACTACCTTCTTTGTTATGTATATAATATCATATTCGGATAACATGACTTGCCATCTTGTAATCCAGCTAGACGAGTATGGCTTTTTAAAGATACACTTAAGAGGATCCATTTTTTATATTAACCAAGTAGTGTAATAAAGTATGTACTTGTCTAAGTCGTCATACACATCACACTAAAGTATAACACAACTTACGTAGTGCGTTGCATCTTGACTCATAATCGATCTTCTTACTTAAATAGTAAATGGCCAGCTTTTTCTTTCTTGAGTCATCTTGTTGACCTAAGATACTTCCCATTGCTATTTTTGTCAACGATAAGTAGAGAATCAATGGTCTTCTTGGTATGAATAGTACCAATAGTGGTGGATTTTGTAAATATTACTTGATTTGATCAAAGCCCTCATAACAATCTTCATCCCATACACTTAGATTTTTCTTTTACAATAATCCGAATATTAGCTCATAAGTATTGGTTAATTGAGAGATGAAGTAAGCTATATAATTCCAATGGCCTAGAAAGCTTCTAACTTCTTTCTCGATTAACAATGAATACATACTCCGAATGGCTTTGACTTTATCAAGATCAATTTAACACCCTTATTGCTCACTATGAAACCAAGCAATTGTTTAGACTTCACACTCGAAAGTACACTTTGTAGGATTCAACCTCGATCATCCTCTTTCTTAGATTTGGCAATCATATCATCCATATACACTTCAACCTCTTTATGCATCATGTCATGCAATAAGATAACCATAGCTCTTTGGTAAGTGGCCTTAGCATTTTTTAATCCGAAGGCATAACCTTATAGCAAAAAGTTCCACGATGAATGTCATTTTCTCTATCTCATCTACTACCATCTTGATCCGATTATACCACGAACATCATCCATGAATGAATGAGTAGCATTCTTCACAACCCTATCTACCAAGACATCGATATACGATAATGGAAAGTCATCTTTTAGATCGGCTCTATTCAAATCTTGATAATCCATACATATTCAAAGCATGCCATCTTTCTTGCCAACTACAACTATGTTCGACACCTATTGAGGGTATTCAACCACTTCTAAAAATCCAACATCCTATTGTTTCTTGATCTCTTCTTTTACTTTTAGCAATACATCCGGCCTTGTCCTTCTTAACTTCTACTTTATCGGCTTACACCCTAGGTTCACGGGTAATCTATGCTTTACTATCTTAGTATCTAGCCCTTGTATATCGAGCATATGACCAAGCAAATATATTAGAGTATTCTCTCAAAAGTGAAATCGGGCTTTTCCTTTTGACATCTTCCATCAAGGTCCCAACTTTCAACTCTCGTCTATTCTTATTAGTCCCCATATTTATCACCTTTAACTTTTTCGATGTGCTTTGATAGAGTGTTTTGAAAATCCTATTAGTTTTGTGAATTCTTTTATGTCATCCTCACCCCACTCTTCTTCGTCCATTGCAATTAAAGTTTCATTAAATTTAGGTTAATCATTTTTAGTGCAAGCATTTTCATTTTTAAAGAAGTGATTACAATGTATGTCCCTAAAATGAAATAAAAGTGCAAATAATGAGAAGAGAAAAAAGAGCAAAATAAGACAATTTCAAAATTAAATTACGCATAATTTGATGTACTAGTATTATTTATAAACAAGACAAGGCTCCACATCAAAATTTCCTTCGAAGATTTGAGCTAGAATTCAATTAAAAGGTCAAAGAAAAATATGATAAAAAGAGATTTACATGGGCTTGTATAAGACTGGCATTTCCTCCTCGAACTAGTTGATCGGCTCTTTTTTTCAATATGCTTCTAGACACTCTTGTTAATGTCAAAAGCTTCCTTCATAGTGTTGATGTTGAGCTGTGAAAGAGTCACCATATCTAATTTGATCAATGATGATGTCAATGGTGTATGCTGATCACTATCCCTAGTCACTATCGCCCCTAAAGTGTTGATTGCCACATCATTAAAGATGTGACCTAAGTCCAAATCCTTATCATCTATAAATAGCTAAACATAGAAAATATTGTGTTATACTTATTGAGAAAGGCTTACATATATTTATAGATTACAAGGGTATGAGCTACTTTAGTATACAATCTAAACTAGGAAACCTTTAATTACAAAAATCAAAATTAATGGCTATAATTACAGCCAATTATCACGGTTTTCCTTGACTAGGTAAATCGGGAAATTATTACCGGGAAAATTAGGGAATGATTTCCTTGAAAATCGAGGAATAATTTTCGTAAGAATCGATCCAATGAATCTAGACAGATTCGTCAACACTCCTCTTTAAGCTATTGAATGAATATTTTCCATTCCTATTTTGTTGGTGATACTTTGAAACGTTATACTAGGAAGTCCCTTCGTTAGGATATCTACTAGTTGTTTGTTGGTGGGGACATAAGGTGCACAAATGAGTCCATTCTCGAGCTTCTCTTTGATGAAATGATGATCAATTTCCACATGTTTTGTTTGATCATGTTGAATAGGATTGTGTGTGATATTGATAGCCGATTTATTATCATAATACAAATTCATAGTGCTTTCCCAATATATCCCCAAATCTTCTAAAATAATTTTTATCCATACTAGCTTACATATTCCTTAGGCCATTGCTCGAAACTCGGCTTCAGCACTTGATCTAGAGATATTGATTGTTTCTTACTCCTCCAAGTTAAAAGATTTTCCCCTAAGAAAGGTACAATACCACGAGGTAGATCTTCGATCAACTAGAGACCCTACCCAATCCGCGTATGTGTATGCTTCCAAGTTGAACCTTCCATTTCTTTTGAATAGGATTCCTTTTTCGGGAGTGCTCTTGAGATATTGAAGGACTTTGTATATAGCTTGTAAGTGTATTTTTCGAGGAGTATGCATAAACTTTCTTAGAACACTTACTTCATATGCTATATCCAGGTCTTGTATGAGCAAGATAAATGAACTTCCCAATCGGCCTTTGATATATTCCCTTGTCAACTTCGGACTATTTGTAGCTTCACCCAACTTGTGATGATAATCAATGGGAATTTCTAAAGGCTTGCACCCCATCATACTTGTTTCCTTGAGTATATCCAGAATATACTTACGTTAAGAGATAAAAATCCTAATTTTTGAATGTGCAACCTCAATTCCTAGGAAATACTTGAGTTTTCCTAGGTCTTTTATCTTAAACTCCATGGATAGGTGATCGTTTAGTTTCTTCATCTCCTTAGAATCATCTCTCGTCACAATGATATCATCCACATAGACTATTGAGGTAGTGATCTTGCTCTCCTTTGATCATTTGATGAAGAGTGTATGATCTCCTAGGCTTTGCTTGAACTTTATTCGCTCCATACCTTTGGTAAATCTTCCAAACCATGCTCTTGGAGACTACTTTAGGCCATATAGAGCCTTTCTTAACTTGTATACATTGTTAGTACCAAAAGCTTGATTGAATCCGGATGGTGGCTCCATATAGGCTTTCTCTTCTAGATCATTGTGTAAAAATGCATTTTTTTACATCAAATTATTATAAATTCTAATCAAGATTGGCTTCCAAGGATAATAATATCCTAATGGTGTTTAGTTTTGCCACCGGTGCAAATGTTTCTACATAATCTACCCTATATGTTTGAGTATAACCTTTGGTAACAAGCTTGGCTTTATATCTCTTAAGTGTCCCATCCGCATTATATTTCATCGTAAACACCCATTTGCACTCAATTAATTTTTTTTCCTTAGGCAACTCAACAATCTCCCAAGTTTTATTTTATTCAAGTGCTCTCATTTCTTTAAGCATAGCATTTTTCCATTCCTCACTTTTAAGTGCTTCTTGAGCGAGTTTTTGAAATCTCAATAGTGTTTAAC